ATAATTTAGTTGGCATCTGTTAATTGGGTAAATGGGCATATAAAAGACCTTGAAGAGGATCTTTTTTAGCCATTTTACCCCTTTTCTATCTTAGTGCACATAGCTCCTTGTACCTTGTAATGCTGATAAGAAAAGAATAAACAACTGAGACCGAACGAGAGAAAACTGCCTCACTCTCGTCAATCTTCAGTTCAAAGGGGAAAAGAACCCAATCCAAAGGTCCATAATGAGACAGTTCCTCAAGAGGAAAGTCATGACTGCTCCGAAATTTCAGGAGCCCAGAATTGGAAGGGCAGAAGGAGAAACATCGGGAACCCCAGGGGTCACACAGCGGTTGCTAATGCTGGAACCGTATCCCCAAGGAAAAAAAAAAAAAATCTGGAAAAAACACTGAAAAAAATTAGTAGGGAGAAAACCCTACTGAGGTTTTCTCTAAACCAGTGGTGTTTATTTTGCAGTTCAGAATAGCTGAGGAGCTTTGAATCTGCTCCTGGCATTTTTAGTGAGTGGGAAACTCAGAATGATCAAATGTTTCTGAGCACAGCCATGTATTTTTTTTCTCCCTCTTTGGGGCCCTCTGGCCGCTCTCATTTGGACTTGCCTTGGGAGACATCACTAAATTCAGCTTTGGTGATGCATCTAAAGCCAGCATCTATTTTTCAATCACAGAATCAAATTCAAATAAAGTAATTTACCAGCAATGATTAGAACAACCTGAATTTCTCACCCTTGGCTTGACCATTTATCAGAGAGGGCAACCAAATTTTCCATAGGTGATATTTCACTCGCTCTTCTGTCTTATTTTAAAATTTTTTTGGAAGAAAATTCCTATCCCCATTTTACTTTTTGTCCTCAGTTGTCCCCCTGAAGTCTCCAGCAGAGGTCACAAATGAATCATTTCTGCCATGGGCTAAACCAAACCTTCACTTGCAGAAACCCAGAAGTGAAAAAGGATTTTTCAATGTTTTTGTACTATTTTGCTAGTTCGTTCCACTTGGGCTTACCAGTGTAAAATTTTCACTCAATTTAGGCCACCAAAAATGCTGTTGAGAGCAGTTGAGTGTGAGTTGGTGTTTTGGACAATTTTTAGAGCATTTTTTATTTCATGAATTAATAAAGCTGTCTTAGGCACATCCCATTTCCCACCAAACTCACCAGGAAACATTATTTTGTCCCAAAACTTCTGATTAAAAGCAAAGGAGAAACAACCATTGCAAGAGCAGTTCATGTCCACCCTAATGAGCAATGAAGTAATTGCACCATCAAATCACTCCCTTCCTTGAGGATTTTATGATAAGGGCAAGGCAGAGGGAAGGAGAAGGTTGAACTTGGATCTCTGACCTTATGAAGGGCTGATCCACCAGTGATCCTCACACAGAGCTGCTCTTTGTCCTTTTCTTGGTGGCCTGGGTCTCACCTTGCCGAGGAATGGGAAAAATCCTATTATTATTATAATTTCTCACCCTGTCCAAGCTGGAAGAAACCTTTTGGACCCCACACAACCCACAGGGCCCTGAAATGGGTGGGAATAAAAACCCATTCTCATCCTTGATGAGATCTTCCCAAGGCACTGGAGAAGGGGACACAGGAACAGGAGCCTGGGTGGCCCTGCCAGTGTCAAAGCAGCTTTTTCAGAAGCCCTTAAACAGCACTTAGGGCTAAATCTGCTGGCACACTTTTTATTTATTTTAATGCAGAGCATTTCTTTCTTGGCGCTCAAGAGGCATTGAATCCATGACTTAATCCGGCAGATCTGCACCAGAAAATCATCCAAGTGTATTGGCCAAAAGGGGTGGGGAAGCAAAATAAAAGAGGAAAAAAAATTCAGCAACTGGTTTAAAGTCTAAATAACCACACTGGGTGACAGCTGCAGGGGTGAGGTTGAAATCTGAATGGGAGATGAATGGAAATAACCCCAGACCACAGGGCTGGTGTGATATTTCCCACCCCACCTGGAGCCCACGTGGCCAGGCTGGGTTTGCGTGAGAAGAAAACGAGGAGAGAAGCTCTAGCGAGGAATTGGAGCGTGGTCCCACCACTTCTAATTGCAGCTGAGGTGGGATTCATCCCACCTGATGATAGGGATGAAAGTCAGCAGGCAAATTAAGACCCCCAAATTGAGGTGTTCATACAAAATGTTTTCTTAGGCACCTGGTGTTTGAGCTCCCAGAGGAAAGAGCAAAGATGCTGGGCTTTGTCCGGGCACTTAAACCTCAAAGAATTCAATCTGAAAGATGTTTTTACACAAGGATCTGAGCTCCTGAGCAAAGACCTGTTGAAAACCTCTGCTCCACCTTCATATTTCCTTCCCAATCCTCAGCTGGGGAGGCAGCAGCCTGCAGAGAGGCAGACTGGAGCATCACCAGCGTTTGGGATTATCTGTCTGCTTGGACTGGCTCCATGTGACACGAACACAAAGCATGCTGAAAATGCCAGGAATTGCCCCATTTTGCTTCAGGGAGGGCAGTAATTAGATAACGTCGGAGGCGATCGCACGAGAGAAGCCACAGCACCGCGAAGCATTAGAGGCATTTCGGAGCCAGCTTTGTCACTCAAGAGGAAAACAATCCGGGGGAAGATGGCAGCCTGCCACAGAAATGTTCCCGATCCTCACGTGGCATTGGGAGCTCAGTGCCTGGGACGTGTCCCGACACAGAGCTCAACGCCTGACACGCTCCACAGCAACGCTCGGGAGGTGGAGAGGCCTGGAGTGGGCAGCAGCCCCTTCAAACCTGGGGAATTGCAGTGGAGAAACCAAAAGCTGCATGAGAAAAGGGCCCAAGCCAGGATCAGGCAATCCCATGTGCTCCAGGGCTTAGAGGACCACGTTGGAGAGCTGCTCTCCAGGATGGGAACATCTCCAGGAGGGAGATTTGGTGGGATGAGCTGCCCTGAGAAGGTGCCACTGTTGATCAAATGGGAACATGTCAGATTTGGTGGAACAGGTTTCCTTGGGAGGGAGGGAGGGAGAGAGAGCTGAGGATACAGAAGAAGAGGAACCTACAGGATGGTCTTTTCTCAAGGCCCAATGGATTCAAGCCTGGGAATTGCACTAAATTAATTTTATGTTAGGATCCCACCGGCCAGGGCCACGCCAAGCACACCCTGCACTCCCACAGGGACCAAAACGAGGCCCAACCCGAGTCAAAATGAGACTCAAATATCAGCTTGAGGGAAACTTTTGGGATTTGGGCACCTGAAGAGGAACGTGTCAGAATTTAACCCTTCCTCACAAAATCAGCAATATTCCCAAATAACCAGTCCTCAGTGCCCTTGTACCCAAATTTCCTCAGGAAGCCCTAGGGGCCAAGAGTCACCTTTTTTTCATGGGGTGAAGGTGGGGATGGTCCCAACTGACTTTTCAGGGGAGGACACAACTTGTCCCATTGGCCTTTCAGCCCTGATGACCACCAGGCACCACAGATGTGCCCAGGGACTTTGCTGGATCCATCTCCAGGACACACAGGGGTTGTGGTGCTGACAAATCCCATCAGCACGGAGGTTGTGGAGGGGGATTTTCCAGATCCTATCAATACAAGGAGTGGGAAAGGCTGGACAGTGCACATGGAGTGAAGCTGATGATGCTGCAGGCAGAGTCTGGAGCCAGGGAAATCTGCAGGATGCAAAGGGAGAGGAGGAGAAAGTGACCTCCCTGCTCAGTCCTTGCCCAGGGGCAGGACAGGCTTAACCTGGCCTGGAAAACACTCACAGGTGGTCCACAGGGTCTGGACATAAGGATGAGGCTTCTATCTCAAACTGCCACATCCAAGCTGCCTCCAAATTCTCATTTTCCCCCTCCTGGCTCTGTTTGGAGTGGTTGGAGGAGGTTTTTCACATGTCTGTCCTCACCTGCACAGCTTCAGCCAAAACGCCGCTCCGGAGGACACGATCAGGTGGTGTCAAGGCTGTTTGCCAGCCTGCCCAGCAGCAAGAAGCTGGTTTGACAGCCAGGAATGACAGGGAAAGAGGAGAAATGTGTCTGTCTGGCTGCCCTGGGAGCAGGGAAATCCATGGATTTTATCTGAAACGTCCAGTTAGATATGAGAGGTGAATGAGGAACAGGCACGGTCCACAAATCCTTACCACACCCAGCATCACTCTGAAAAAAACAATTCCCTACTCCAGGGACTGTTTTAGTGGATAAAGGTCCCAAAACTTGCTTGTCCCTCTAGGATGGTGAGTGACAGGGGACATTTTGGGGGTTTTGTACATCACTTGAGTGGGGCTCAGTCCCCAGGCACTCGCTGGCATCTCCTGGGAGAGTGGCATTTGCAGGGATGTTGTAGATCACCACCATCATAATTATTGTTATTAATAATAATTAATTATTGAAACATTGCTACCAGTAAGTGCTCTAAGTTATTACTGAGGGTGGCAGTGGAGGGGGTGGAACAGGAACTTTCTCAAGGCAAAGCCAGTGAGTTTTGTCCCCTGATCTGCCTCACAGGGACATCTCAAAGCCTTACATCAGTGGGAGAAATCAAAGATGCTCTTCCTGGGGCAGCAGAAAGGCCATACTGAGTGTCCTCCTGGACCTGAGCAATTCCCTCACCCACCAGGGATGTTGCCACCAGGTGAATTTTACAGTGAATTTTGAGTTTCTTTGTGTTCTGCTCCGCAGTCCTTGGCTGCAGCCGGAACTCAGGAACCGAGGAGCTCTTTGTTGCAACCCGGACATCCAAAAACAGGCCAGCTGTAGGCACCTGAGCTTTTCCTGGTGGAAAAGCACTGTCTGAAGAAATTCCCAGCTGGGGATGGCCAGCTGCTCTCACAGGAGTTGGGTAAGAAGTGATACAGGCATGAAGGTGGTGGCTGGTGTTGGATGGAGCCCTTGTTCATCACCCACCACTTTAATTCACCCTTCACTTTATTATTCTCAACAATTAATATTATTAATTATTATCGCCACCAGCCACCACACCTCACCCCTGGGCTGGCATCCATGTGCTCTGAAAGTAAATTTGCTTTTCAAGGAGGCTGAAAAACGTGCACTTGAAGAGGAAGGGAATAGACCCAACTCGTTTACACAAACAAGCAGGAGAACAGGCTTGTCACATTCCAGGCGTGTTTCCCCCGGCCGCCGGCCCCCTCCTGCTCCCATGAAGGAAAAAGGCTTTTTTTCAAAAGAAATCCAGCATGGAAAGCTCCCCATCCACAAAAATCCTGAGGGGGATCTATTTGTGAGGTGAGCTGGTTATATTTGAGCTCCCAGGGTAGTTTTTCCATCCTTGCCCTGTTTTGAAACACGAAGGGAAGGGTTGAATTTTGCCTTGGGAGGGCTGTCATCGTCTCAGTCCCATCCCTGAACGACATGGGATGGCCCCTCTCCAGGCTGGGGGACTTTCCAGTGCCCAAAATCCAGAGGCTGCTCTGCTCTCCATTGGGGAACATTCCTGGATCCTCTCTCTCTGGGAAGATTCCAGTGAATCCCACTGTCACCTTACTGATGCTTCCGTGGGATGTCTCGTTCTGGGAGCCTGGAGTGGAGGTTGAGCCTTGGTTTGCAGTGCTGGGGAAGAGAAAATGCAGGAGGGAAATCAGATAAGGCACATTCCTGGGCACAGGTTGCTGGAATGAGTCCACCTTGCAGCGCTAATGCCCATACTTGACCGAGGGAGCTGCACAAATCCACTTGATTTATGGAGCAGAGGCACAGGCAGAGCCAGCCTGAGCAGGGAGGGTGTTTTCCCACCCCCCTGGAACAGGGACAATGTCTCTGCTGTGTGTGAAGTGCTGCGCCAGAGCAAATGGGAAATGCCAGGAGAGAGATAAGCGCTGCTCCAGCCAGGAAGGCAAACTCGGTGCGTGTCCATCACTCCTCGGCTTTTTATCAGCCACCTGGGCACCTGGATGAGGGGATCCTGCTGGCTCAGGCCTTGAGGAGATAGAAATAACTCAATATTAATGAGGGGGAAAGCAGCTCAGCCTCACCCCACACCAGGGAGTTATCCCTGTCCACCCCACAGATGATGGGCACCAGTAATGATCGACTTTCGCAGCTCTCCATCATCCCCAGGTCTCCTCCACCCACCTCCCAACACCAGATTGGTTTGCCCTCTTTTTGCTGGGCACTTGGCAGAGAAAATTTCAGAATAATTTAATCATGTTCAGCACATATCTCAGAATGGTTTGGGTTGGAAGGAACTTTAAAGACCATCAATTCCACCCCCTGCCATGGGCAGGGACATCTTCCATCATCCCAGGTTTCTCCAAGCCCCATCCAACCTGGCCTTGGACACTTGCAGGGATCCAGGGATCCAACCTGTGCCAGTCCTTCATCACCCTCATATTCAGGAATTTCTTCCTAATTACTAATTAAAAAGCTCCTCTGTCAGTTTAACCATCATCCCTGTGGGTGACAGCTTGGATTGGTCTCGTTTTGCAGAGGAAACTGAGGCACAAAAGAGACGGGGTGACATCCATTCTCTGAATGAGTGACCAGGCCTGAAAATGGGCTGGAACTGCCTGTGCTGATGCTTCAGCTTCCCTGGGAGAAATTTCCTTACCTTCACAGCTCAGGCTGGAGGGGGAATTCAGAGGGGTCTGATGTGAAAAGCCCCGCTAGAATCCAGCCCTGGTAGCTGAGGTTTGGGGCTGTTTATTTTTTGATCCCAATAGAAATTGGGGTAATGCAAGGACTCAGAAACATCAGAAATACGAGCTGCCAACTCTCTGCCTCAGTTTCTCCACCTCCCATGGGATGCACTCTGCTTTGATCCCCCCATCCCAGCAGAAATCCAAGGGGAGCGCTGTGATTTCACCCAAAACGAGAGCTCCAGCAGCCTGGGTGTTCCTCAGCTCTTCAGCCCAAATCTGCACTGGGCTCAGCTCTCAGCACAGCCCGAGGTGCTGGCATTATCAGCCCAAACCCGATGCTTTGGGCTGTGCTGCTATGGCCCCGAAATTCCAACCCCCTGAGCACCACCTCTGTCCATCCCAGCTGTGGAGTTTCCTGGCTTGAGGCTTGTTTACGCACATTTCCTCCCTGAGCCGTGACTCAGGCCTCAGGTATTTGAGAATTTGGCCATTCCTGAGCTAAGTCACCTTCCCAGCACCGGGAGGGACTTTGGAAATCCTCAGTGGGGTGCCCAAGTTCCCACCACCCCTGGCTATGGCATTGTTTCCCCGTCCCAGACATCCTGGAGTGATGGAGAAGCCTGCAGGAGAAGACCCCAACACGTGCCTTAACACCAGAGGGACTTTCTTGGTTTTTGGACAGAGAAACAAACCCACATCTTTCAGGTCCAGCTTGAAAAAGCAGCAACAGCATCTCCTCTAGAGCCAGACTGATGCTTCTTGTCTGGGGGTGGAAGGCATGAGGTCCTGGGGCTCAGTGTGGGTTTGTCCTGGCGTGGGGATGGTGCAGGACATGGACACGAGGTCCTGCACTGAGCCCTCTGCTCCTTGATGTGCTCCCACAGTTACCTCCTGTGAAGATAATTCAGAGCTACCTCGATGCCCATGTCACACTGGGCAATTCCTCAGTTGGGAACTGGACACTTTCTGGAGCCCAGGCACCTCTAGACTCCAAACAGCCCATCTGAGCCATGGAATTCCATGGAATGTCACAAACAGGAGCTGGATACAGGCACAGCTGCCAAATCTGGGAGGGGGGATCCAAACCTGAGCCTGATGTGAAGGCTCTGCTCTAATTCACAGGAGCACATCGTGTCACAGAGACACCACCCAGGGGAGGGACAGCCCACACGTGGCACAGCAGCCCTGAGAGGCCCTGGCACAGGGTGCCCAGAGCAGCTGTGGCTGCCCCTGGATCCCTGGAAATGTCCAAGGCCAGGCTGGACAGGGCTTGGAGTGCCCTGGGACAGTGGGAGGTGTCCCTGCCTATGGCAGGGGTGGAATGAGAAGAGCTTTAGGGTCCCTTCCAACCCAAACCATTCCATTATGAGGTAAACTGAGGCACCAGCCTGTGGGAAGCTCCATCCTGGAGGCTTCTGCTGATCTGCCACCGGAGGTATTTCCTACAGACACAAGCAGGGCTGAGGGAACACAGCATAAATGTCCCCTTGAATCACTGTGAAGAAGAACTTTGGTGCCTAAATCTATCCCATTGTGTCCAAACACAGACATTCCACGTGGATGAGGGATGGGGAATCTCTCAGGGAAGGAGGAACATGCAAAAGTTCTTTCTGCTTTGCCCTGCATGTTCAGAGCACCTATAGTGTCACCAGAGGACACAAAATGAACACAAACACTCTCAGTGTCAGAACACGAAACCTGCCTTTATTCTCTGACTCCAGGATTTACAGATTCTCAGCAATGACCAGGGACTGGATAATTAAGTTACCACCTTCCCAAGCAGACTGGTCATGAGAAACGTCCATCAAAAGAGGTTTCTCAGGAGGAATGTGATAAACAACTTATGTTTATAGGACTTTCATGGGAAAGCAACTAAAACTATGAAAACATTATCAGAAGGCTTAACTTTCAGGGTGACACTAGAGCAGGTGGTGACAAGGCAGGACAGCCCTGTGCCACCAGAGAGGGCTTGGATGAGGGATCCAAGGATCCTGAGCCCAGGAGAAACCCCAAGGTGTCCTTGCAGCCAGCTCGCCCCTTTGACCTCCTGCCTTTGAGGCCGAGGGGAAAGGCCCGTGTTAAGGCAACAAGGAAATGACCCGGAGTGTGATCCCCTGATCCCTGCTCCACCTCCCGGGATGGGCCGTGTCCCCCGGGGCCGGGCAGCGGAGCATCCGCCAAGGATGGAGACCTGAGCGCTGCCAAAGAGCTGCTCTGCCCCAAATCCCCTTCGGGGCCGAGGTGGAGAGGCTGAAATACGAGCGGGGTGTTTTCCTTCATGTCTAGGGTCACTGCTCCATCTAGTGTTGGAAATGTCCCTCCAGCAGCCACCGCCGGGCAGGGACAGATCGGCGGCCTGGAGAACGCGACGCTGAAAATGTTTTGGAAGAGCACAAAGCCCCTGTGACTTTATTCTGTTTGGTTTCCTGGTTTTTGGGTTGCTTTATATATTTTTTTGTTGTTGTTTTGGTTTGTTTTTCGGTGATTTTTTGGTTGTTTTTTGTTTTTTTATTGCCAGGAAGATCTGTCTCTTTTCTCTTTCACATCCCAAAATCTTTTCCAGGTGATCTCCAAAGATGCCACGGAACGAGCTGGAGAGTTGGATCAAACCCCAGCGCTGGAGTGCGGGTGGTCACTTTATTCTCAGATCCCAAATGTGACACCTCGACCCCCAGATGAAGCTTTAGGTTCAGGGGAAATCAGGATCCCCACCACAAAGGGGAAGAATTCGTGGTGACACAAAAAAAAATGCCATCAGCGGGGTTCAGAGTAAACACTTTCTCATTTTGGGAGGGCAGCTCTGCCTCTCTCCAAGGAATTTGAGCAGGGAGGATGATTTGCAGCCTCTCAGCAAAACCTTGCAGCTATCTCAGACCAGCCTGGGATCAAGACATTCTCAACTTTTGGGGGTGAAACAGAGGAAATCGGCTCCTTTTTCAAAAATAGCCCAAAACGACCATTTGTGACTCAGCTGGGTCTGCCATCCCTGGGATAGCATCCTGAAAAAACCCCACAGGCTGTGGGAAAGGGAGGAAAGGAGGATTTTATCCAGCATTTTCAGAGGGCTGGAGGGTTTTGATCCTGCTCCAGGGGAAGTAGGATCAGGTCACACCACAGGGCACCCAAATTGCAGCGTTGATGTTGGGAACCAAAAGTGCTTTCCCCAGTCAGCAGAGTGAGATGGGCTCTGTTGGGGCAACTCTGGGCACTGCTCTGGTTTGAAATCCCTGGAGAAATGTGATATTACTGGAGCATTTATAAAAAAAATTAATAATAGAAACCCCAACCCCTCCTCCCCCCAAATAATTATCTGAGACAGTCATGCTCCCAAAATAAAATTGATTTTTTTTTTCCTAGCTTGCAAATAACACTGGTTGCTTCCAAATTGTTTTGATGAAATGTCTGTGACAGCAAAGTGAAATTTTAAAAATGCAGGAGTGTGAGAGAAATTTTAGTTATTTAGGAAGCAGCACACATGGATCTGGGTTGATGCCAGAACAGAACCTTCAGGACCTTAACAGAGCCTTCCAGTACTGAAAGGAGGCTTTTAAAAGAGAGGGACAGTGAGCTTTTAGACAGGTAGTGACAGTACAAGGGGGGGGGGATAGTTTTAAACTAAAAGAGGTGAGATTTAGGTATTTGGAACCAATTCTTCCCCGTGAGGGTGGGCAGGCCCTGGCACAGGTTTCCAGAGCAGCTGTGGCTGCCCCTGGATCCCTGGAAGTGTCCAAGGCCAGGCTGGACAGGGCTTGGAGCATCCTGCGATGGTAGAAGGTGTCCCTGCCCATGGCAGGGGTGGAACTGGATCATCTTTGATGTCCCTTCCAACCCAAACCATTCTGGGATTCTCCTTCAGAGCCTCCAGTGGTGTCCCAGCAGCCAGGAGAGAGCCAGGAGTGACAGCTTTGATGAACCCCTCCAGCTGAACAAGAACCTCCAAACGCATGGACAGACAGGACAGGAGCAGAGATCCCTCGTCTCTGAGGGCTGTGGGATAACTCAGGTGTGAAGGGAACCTCGGGGGGTCTCCAGTGCAACCTCTTGCCCAAAACCAGGGGTTTGGGTCACACCAAGAGGTGCAGGACATGCCCCAGGTGTGCCTTGAAGGGTCGCCCTGGCCTTGGCGTTGTCCCCTGTGCCAGTGAAGGGAATGTGGAGAGGAATTGCTCTCACATGGCAGGTGGTGACCACCTGTCAATGGTCACAAAACTACAGGTCACAAGGTCTTTTAAAGGTTATTTAACCAATAAACTAATGCCACAAAAGAAAATTTCTTTTACACCAATAGTTAATTATTATGTTTTATACATCTCTGTTGCTTTGTGGACTTTCTCAACCAATAATGACACACAAAAAACTCCTTATTATACCCTAAACTTCTTATTACCCTTATAATTACTTCTATATCTTAGCTTTAAAACCTTAAAATTTCCTACAACCTAACTTGATGTCTTTCTATTTAAACTCACATTCTTACTTATGATTCTAAATCTGGACACTTTCTCCAAGGCCTCAGGACAAACCCTGTGCTCGTGTCTATGTCTGAGCTTGTATTTACAAGATTTTGAGAGCTTTCTGTGCTTGGAATTCCCACAAGCACCCATGGTCCCAGGGTCAGGAGCTGGAGAGGGATTTTGGACTTCAGGTGTTTGGCTAAAGTTCCATCATCACTTCTCACTCTAGAAATGAGAGGAGAAAGGGAGGGAAGCTGCAGGAACAGGAGCTGGGAGGGAGCACAAGCCCCTCTGTGCACGCCATGTGCCTTCTCAGCCTCGCACACCTCCTGTCACAGCTGCCCCAGCGCCACCAGGGAGTTTAATCAGATCATACCTTAAAGCCAGGGACGTATCAGGAGGAGCTGAATGCGCTTTTGCCTTCCCCAGTGAATACAATTTCCCAGCAAATGGTTATTTTGAATGGGAGGTTTGCCCAGGACATGAGATCGCCCAGCCCTCGGGTATTTCTCTCGGCATTACACACTCTGAATGCTCCGAGACAAGAAGTTACACAGAGAACGCCTTTTGTCTGGCAACACAATCTGCTTTTTTGTTCCAAGGGGGCCAAGATAATTGGAGCTGCGAAGCGCTACCTTAACGCTCTTCCACCAGTCATGGACTTAATTCTGGGGAGAATAACTCCCCGCAGTTATTGCCATAAAGCAACGCAGCGATTCAGAGAGCCCTTTTCACCGGCCGATGCTGGGGGGGACCACCCAGGAGCCGGCAGGACAAAGCCACCCCAGCGCCCGCTGCGAGGGGCAGAGCCGACCTGGGGCTGTGGGGTCCCGCTCTGGTCCCCCCCTCTCTGGGGCAGGGATGCAGGTCTGAGCCCCAGAGCATCCCACACGGATGAGGCACGTGCAGAAAGGGGTGTCGGGCTCGCTATGGGGCTCTGCTGGCCCCAGTGTGTGAGCAGAGGGGTTCGGGTTTTTAGGGGTGCACAGAGGCAGCCACCCCCTGTTTGCCACCTCTTCCCCACTGCTGTGCTCGTGCATCGGCTGCAGAGGCGTTTGCCAGCTCAGGCATGCAAATCTATGCATATAAATCCATAGAAATATATGTTGGGGTAGGGGGGAGAATCAACCCTTTTTTTGCAGCCATTATCTGTAATAATAAATCATTGTCTGGTTTTTACTCACATGGAATGGGACTGGACCGGAGAGAGATCCTCTTCTCCCATCCTCTCATCCCCTGGAGCGGATCACGCTCAGACATCAGCTCCCTGACCCCACAAACAGCAGCTGTCCAGAAATCTAAATTAATTCTGGTAGAAACAAACCTGGAGAAGGGCTGAGCCACATCCCTGAGCCACATCCCTGAACCAAAACCCCTGAGCCACATCCCAGATCCAAATCCTTGAGCCACATCCCTGAGCCACGTTCCTGAGCCACATCCCTGAGCCACATCCCTGAACCAAATCCCTGAGCCACATCCCTGAGCCACATCCCTGAGCCACATCCCTGAATCCCTGAGCCACATCCCTGAATCCCTGAGCCACATCCCTGAGCCACATCCCTGAACCAAATCCCTGAGCCACATCCCTGAGCCACATCCCTGAGCCACATCCCTGAATCCCTGAGCCACATCCCTGAGCCACATCCCTGAATCCCTGAGCCACATCCCTGAGCCACATCCCTGAACCAAATCCCTGAGCCACATCCCTGAGCCAAATCCCTGAATCCCTGAGCCACATCCCTGAGCCACATCCCTGAGCCAAGC